AGATAGTACCAAAAAAAAGAAAAAAAAAAGGAGAGAAAAAAGTACTTTAGGCAAATTAAAGTTGGTAAACAACGTGGGAAATGAAAGGGTAAAAGGATAAAGGTCAAAAGACTGTTAAGGGAGGTCAAAAATTGCCCATTTTAACTTGTTTTTTTCAATGTATAACAGTTGGTCGGTTATACTTTAGGGAAATGCTACTGTCCCGTTACGGTACCATTCCGTCGAGTGTTTTAACCGTTGGATCATCTATCTTGTCTAACTACACGTGGATTCAACGGTTAAAACAACCGACATGATGGTACCGTAACGGGACCGTAGCATCTCCCTATACTTTATCTATATTATAAAATTTCATATGCTTATTAGTTTTATATTAGTTTAATTGCACATAAAATCCTCACATTTTGTGTAATTGTAAATAAAACTCAACTTTTTTATCTTTACAAATAAATACCAGACCTTTATTATGTGTTGTAAATTTGTCTCAAAACAATTTCCGGCCAATCTTATTAGCGTGTCCATTCAAAACACTAAAATCACCTAAAAATCACTTGAAAATCGCTCATTCTACCCAATTTTTAAAAATATGAGCCAGTAAGTGTATTCAGAATGTTAAGGGTGAACTCGATTTTTGGAGTGAAGAATCACCATGGAGAAGAGAAGAATTGTGCAAATATTCTTTTTTTTTTTTTTTCAATTGGAGGAGAAGAAGTCAATTTTTTTGAAGATTATGTAGCAAAAAACATGGTAATAAAATCCTACTTCTCCAATTGGTACTAAGTTCTAATTTTGGTTAATTTATTGACATATGATGTAGTAAAACATGGTGAGGAGTTTTAAATGTTGATGCCACACAAGTTCCATAAGTGTCACGCAAGATTTCTGATCGAACACGCCAACAAGGATTGGCCGTAAAATAGTTTTGAGACAAGTTTGCAACAATAATAAAAGCTTGGTATTTATTTGCAAAGATAAAAATGTTGAGTTTTATTTGCAATTACAAAAAAGTGAGGATTTTATGTGCTATTAAACCAATAAATATATTTCTCTAATCTTTTTTCTTTCGTCATTCTTTTAATTTTTCGCATTGGATTCTGCAAAGTCAAATTGTGGAGCTACAAAGTCAAAGTGGTAATTGAAATCAAAAGGCAATTAATAAAGAAAGTCGACACTAAAGGGAATAAAAAGCAAATAATATATAAATATTTTGCTCAATTGGGGTCAAGATGCAAATATTCCTCTAAAGGCTATATATATATATATCACACGTTCAAAGATACATTTTGAGGAAAAGGTTGGGACTTTATCTCCTTTAATTTTGTAGGAATCAGATGCAGATTATCAGCTAATTGATGGTTCATTTTATTTTATTAATTTATGCAATAGTTTGAAACAATTGTGTTGAAAAAACAATATGTTCAAAAGTATATATAATTCTGTAACATATACATTCTTTTTTATTATAAAAATATGATAGACCGACTTGCCTATATGTTAGATCAAATCACAAAAAATTATCTATAGCAAAGTATATTTTATATCTATTGGGTTGATGATATTGAGAAAATTAGACCATTTCACTCATAAAATATAGTTATGTATACCATTTCACTCAATTCGTTAAGTTGTGCAATTTTTTCTTTTGCAATATTATTAGAAGTGATTATTGAGACTAGTTAATGTAATTAAATTAGCTATAGACATCATTCTTTAAATGAAACAAGCCGCTTGCGAGGTAAGCACATTTTATCGTGTTCGTTTAAAACTTATTTGATTAACAACATGATAAAATAGAGATTGCTACGAAATTTTATCTAAATCAACTTGATAAGACTTGAGTTCGGCTCGCTCATATTGCTCGAGCCTGACTATTTTAACATCTCTAGTACCGTATTAAATGAACCTTGTATTACCAACATCAAAGTGTCCATATTATTAGATGCATTTTTTTTTTCCAGTAAAAGGGAATTTCTAAATAATTAATTTAAAAGCAATTTTGTAGGGTACATTTATTTAGGTTAAATTTAGTTATCAGTGTACGTTATGCTGGATTCACTGTACCATGGGTGATGGCTGGAGAAATTTAACAAAATATTTGGACATTTTATCTTATTCCAAGGTATATATTATTATTGATATTCAGATTCAACCGCCCCTTCATATGTTATGTTATACTACCTCCTATTTTTAATATATGTCGTTTTGAGAAGTTACACGTTAATTAAGAATATTTTTTTGGTCAATAATAACCTTATTTAATGAAGATAGAGATGAATGTTTTGAGAAAATGTGAAGAGTGATTATGAAAAGACGTAATGTATTTATTAGCTAAATGAGAGTAATAGTAGAAAAATATGAACAAAAGATCCATAACGACATTTAATTTGTTAATAGTTAATAGAGTCAAAATGACATATAAAAAAAATAGGAGGGAGTATTAAAAAAAAAATCTAATAATAATGTTGCCTTAAATTTCTATTGTTATTTTTAATTTGGGGATATTAAAATAGTCATTGAAATTCAATAATCAACTATAGTTTTATATCACTCTTTAAAACTACATTACAAAAGAAACTCTTACATTCCCACGGAATTTTTTCGTTGGAATTCTTTATATTTTCCGTTGGAATAGCTATTCCAACGGATATTCCTACCTATAAAAAATCGTGGGAAAAACGGTCGTTGCAATAGCTAAAATCCAACGGAAAATCCTATGAAAATAAATTTCTACAACTATTCCAACAGAAAAAAAATCTGTTGGAATTTCTCAACCATCCAATACTTATTCAAACATAAATTAAGTTTGTTGGAATACTCATTGGAATTTTCAACGGAAATTTTTGCAGTTGAAATTTTTCGTTGGAATTGAAGTGTTTTTTGTAGTGAATTAATATTGTGAGGATTAAATATTGGGAAGCTATTTTGTTTGAAGGTATTTGGAAAAAATAAAAAATAAAAATTGAACAATTTAAAGATATTTTGCTGAATTTGTCTTATTTTTTTTTTCATGAATTAAGTATTGTGAGCCTACCTATTTAAGAGTTGATCAATAATCACGTTGTTAATCAATTAATTATCTACATAATTAGGGAGCATAGGGAAACTTAAACAACTGTTAGAGCAGCTTTGGGTTTGGCATTTGTCTCTTTGCCTTTGCTGTGTCCCCTAACTTCCATATTTCGGTCCTATCTTAACGGAGTAGCTCAGGACAAACTCATAGATTCTATTTAAATATTCAATTAAATTCTTGTTTTATTAGAAGAAATTAAGGAATAACAAAAAATAATAATAATAAAAAAAAAAACACAATTCAATGCATCTAAAAAGTTTCAT